CACAATGTTGTTATTGTTGCCTAAACACTATTGCAGATTATGGCTGTGTTGTGCCTCCACTCATCGAGTGTTCACTGACAGTGACACTGACAATACAAACCAAGAAATGTCCACAGACGTAGTGAGTGATCACAAGTACTGTTGCTGTTTTCAGGTTAATGTAAGGGTTGAGTTTATGGTTAATGTAGTGGGGATATAACGTTACCTGGAGTAGTGGGGGCGTGACTTTATCCAGTAACCTGCTGTATTAGGACTGACTGACTGACTGAGTTTAGTTTTACGCCGCTTTTAGCAATATTCCAGCAATATCACGGCGGGGACACCAGAAATGGGCGGGCTTAACACATTGTGCCCATGTGGGTGCTGTATTAGGAACTCAACGCAACGTAGAATAGTAAGGGCTCGAGATTATCCAGTAGCCTGCTGTATTTGGAACATAACGCAACCTAGAGTAGTGGGGTGCGTGTCATTATCCAGTAGCCTGCTGTATTTGGAACATAACGCTACCTAGATTAGTGTGGGCGTGACATTACCCAGTAGCCTGCAGTAATAGGAACATAACGTTACCTAGAGTAGTGGGGGCGTGACAATTTCCAGTAACCTGCTATATTATGAACTTATCGCAACCTAGAATAGAGGGGGGCGTGACGTTATCCAGTAACCTGGTGTATTAGGAACATAACGCTACCTAGAGCAGTGGGGGCGTGACATTATCCAGTAGTCTGCTGTAATAGGAACATAACGTTACCTAGAGTAGTGGGGGCGTGACCTTATCCAGTAACCTGCTGTAATAGGAACATAACGCTACCTAGAGTAGTGGGGACGTGATATTATCCAGTAGCCTGCAGTAATAGGAACATAACGTTACCTAGAGTAATGGGGGCGTGTCATTGTCCAGTAACCTACTGTATTGGGGATAAAACGCTACCTAGAATTGTTAGCAGAGACGTGCCATTATCCAGTAACCTACTGTATTGGGGATAAAAGGCTACCTAGAGTAAAAGAGACGTGCCATAATCCAGTCACCTACTGTATTGGGGATTAAACGCTACCTAGGGGGTAGCAGAGACGATGCCATTATCCAGTAACCTACTGTATTGGGGATTAAACGCTACCTAGGGTAGCAGAGACGTGACATTATCCAGTAACCTACTGTATTGGGGATAAAAGGCTACCTAGAGTAAAAGAGACGTGCCATAATCCAGTAACCTACTGTGTTGGGGATAAAACGCTACCAAGAGTAACAGAGACGTGCCATTATCCAGTAACCTACTGTATTGGGGGATTAAACGCTACCTAGGGTAGCAGAGACGATGCCATTATCCAGTAACCTACTGTATTGGGGATAAAAGGCTACCTAGAGTAAAAGAGACGTGCCATAATCCAGTCACCTACTGTGTTGCAGGATAAAAACGCTACCTAGAGTAGCAGAGACGTGACATTATCCAGTCACCTACTGTATTGGGGATAAAAGGCTACCTAGAATAACAGAGACGTGCCATTATCCAGTAACCTACTGTATTGGGGATAAAACGCTACAAAGAGTAGCAGAGACGTGACATTATCCAGTAACCTACTGTATTGGGGATATAACGCTACCTAGAGTAACATTACCTAGTCGTTACATTATCCAATAAACTTCTGTATTATGGCTCTCACGTTATGATGTGATGCCATCCAGTAACCTACAATAATAAGCGAGAACATTCGATCCCCCACCTTAACTTAGTGTAAGTTTAATTATATCGGGAATATGGGAGGTGTCACAATACCGACCACAAGGTATATGTCAGGCGTTAAATTACCGAGTATGTCAGAGGCGTTTATGTTACCCATTATATTGGGTGTTGAACGTAACCCAGTTCAGATGGTCTGGAATTACCCGGTACAACGAAAGTGAAACATTACAAGTATATTGAAGGTTTGACGTCCGCCAATATGTAGACAGTCATTTGCGAGTGACGAGGAACGACGTATTTTCTGTGAAGAATGAATTCAGTTTGGAAGTCACGAGTCTTGGCGACTGACATATTAATTTACTTCACGAGGGACAGATAATAAGTTCCTTCCTCACGAGTAGTTTATGTTCATATTTTCCATCGTCAATTTTGAACGTGACAACCTGAGAAGATCCTTATATTAATTCTTGTTATGTGAGAGGCGAATTATCATTCACTACACCTGTGGAACGACACCAATAATGATCCCAGAATAGTTAAAGAGTTCGATTGAAACGCATCTGTTTCTAGGAAGATGATACAAAATATACCAAAAGTAACCATCAAGAATATTTTTGTTAGATTCATTCTGAAAATTATTTCAAAGTAAATGATACAGTACATCTGTCAGGTATTCAGAGACGTGCGGTTTAATTCAAACCGTTCGCCATCCAGTATAGCGGTCGTTGAACGTATACTGAACCATAAACACCCACTCATTCTTTTGTCATGTTGAAGGTGTAGCATTAACTAATCTTTTGAGTCCTCCTGACAAGGTACGTAAGTCCCAAAACTTCCAATTTTTTAAACCTAGTATTTTTGTTATTTTCAATTTCGGCTAAATTTTCCTGCAGTTACCAGCGGCTGAAGTGATGGTGTAAATCCAGCTAGGGTCCATGCAGGGAGCAGCAGCAAGTCCCCATGGTCCCACAGTATGGTGATCTACCATCGGTTGTTGGCGACCTTTAGCCTGTTTCATCTTGTATTGCCTTCGTAATTAAAATAGTTTTAGATTTACGTGCTAGTTTTAGACACCATCTGTGATACTCTAGTTATTTTACAGTCCTTCGATGACTGATTATTTAACAATTTAAAATTATTGTGTATGCCAAACATTTTTCTAGTCACTATATGGCTGAAACATTGCCGCGGTGACGTTTAATTTTAACTCACTCATTCTAATCTTTCGAAGGTGTAACATTAGCTGGTTCATTCGAGCCCCACCTTAACACTTGTTGTTTGTGTACATGTGCAGGACACTTTCAACAATTGGGGAAAGATTGACCATTATTATTATTTGGACTATTACATGAAGTAATAGTTTCAGCTACTTACCTTTACATTTCCTCTTTTAAAACACATGGCATTGTCTCCCAGTGGATGTTAATATTTTGTGTTCAAAGAACTTCAGCTGGAAAACAGAACGATGAGGAACTGACTTGGAATGGTGACTGATTATTGTAGGAACAGTTCATGAAAGTTTAGGATGTAAGATAAAAACAGATTTCTTGTGTTATAATGCTGTTCTAGACAGTCTTTACCACAACTCAAGCAGTGCATCAGATTTTACATTAAACAGCAGGTGCAACCTGTTTTTGTTTGGTGCAACAAGGTGATTGCCTTAGGTTGCAATGGGTGCAAGTAGGTATCATTTCATTAAATAGACCCCTGGTTATACTTGTTCAATACGAATGATGCGAACTGGGTGCAGGTAAAGTCAAACGTACACACTTTCCAGGTTTCTTCCCTGGCCACTAATAGGCAGATGCCTCTCACGGTTAGTCCATTGTCCACAACCCCGTACACCTGATGTACTCGTTGGCAATTATGATTTTTACAAAACCCGAATGACATTACTTGTTCAAGAATCATTTTCAAATCATCTATCAACTCGTAATTTCTTAAAAGGTTTAACTGACCACGGTAGCTCCTTGTTTGACGTGATGTGAGTCGCTCCGAACTTCAATGCTCCTGTACTTCTCTAATACTTCCAAATACATATAGCTCTCTTAATCAGTGTGTGGTCATCCTTTGTATGCACATTGTCTATCTTGTATATCACGTCCTCGTTCACTGTCACCCACTCCCCGTGAATACAGGTTCCATGGTGATTGTAAAATCACTGGCCAGTTCATAACTAGGGAATAGGCCACCCGGCTACTGTTTCCTTGGAGGGACTGAATATCAACGTGCAGTGGAACACTATTCCATTTGTGGGTATTTGATAAGAATGAAAGGCTGCTGAGATGTCACTGACTAGTGTGCTTGTGGGTATTTACTATCATCTAGTACAGAGAGAGAAGTGAATATATGGCATGCACTGACAAATATCAACAACACACCATTCTTAAACTCATTTTGGTAAAGCTTTACAATAAATCAGTATAAAACCCATGATTGTTTATTGGACAGTACTTATACAGTCAGTATGAAACATTCAGAGTCTTGTGAGGTACATGTAGTCAGTGAGGAACTTGACTATTGCTCTGCCCGACCCATCAAGCACATGCTTCTCCGCATCCACAGTTGCCAGATCTCGGACGGCTTGGGGAAGAGTTTCCGCTAGTTGTGCTGCTCTTTCCACATAGCCAGTCCTGGAATGAAAGGTTACCAGTCCTGCTGACACGTAAGCTGCATGCAGAGACTTATCGTAGGGACGAGGAACCAGACGAATGGCCGACTTCACCTCAGCTTTTCCCAGGGCGGATTTATCGTTGTACGTTCCATGGACAAATTCTGCATAGTTGAGTGCGTTGTGGGTGAACTCGTGGACTATCTGCTCAGCCATGAAGGGAACACTCCATTCCCCTTCCAACACTTGGGTCCATCCAAAACATACCAAGGGCTGAACGAACTCCTCCAGCTAAGTTAATTTTGTGTTCCTGTTTATAAAAAGCAATGCAGGATATCATCTGAGTCATTGAGTCATAGAGTTCTGGGTGAGTGTTATTGATCATTCTGAAAGCTGCATGTGCAGTGGTCGATATCTTCCTTTGTTCTTCCCCTGTGAATATGTATTTCTTTGAAGTCATGTAGGACGGTGAAAGGGACATAACTCCTGTGACGTTCAACCAATTTGCAATGTCCTCATCATTAAAGACGAGTACAATCTCATCCTCCTTCACAGGGAGATGAATGGGTTGAATTTGTTGGATGTCCTGAAAGAACGCTTTCTTGGCTTCGCTCTCAGAAACCTCTGTGCCCCTGAAACCTTTGACTGCTAATATCTGGTTCATTAGGTTGATATCTCGACGGAAAGGCCAGTACAGGTTCATGAAGCTATCAGTCAAACCCATCAGGGAAAGGGGATACATTTGTTGACAATGGTTTCAACGGATCAAGGGACAAGAAAAGATCACTCAAGATGGGCAGCGATGTGTTCCAGTCTTGGTAAAAGGAATCGGCTCCTTTGCTGATGTTTCTCCGAGAGTCATGCACCAGTGTCAACCAATTAATCAGATTATTGAGGTCAAGGTTATGAAGCGGCATATTGTCGTGTTTAACATTATATTGTATCCAGGCTAACAATTCTTTTTTCAACACTTTATAGAGTTTGGCATCATCAGTTACTTCTTTATGTACATGATCAATGATCGCTTTGATGTCTGTGAGACTGTCCTCTACATCCCTGGAAACTGCCCTCATTAGATTCTGAGGATTGAAGACAAGCAATCCATCGTTACTGTCAACCTTATTCGACAAACGTCTGACCTTGTGCTTCAGACTGTCCACTACATCCCTGGAAACTGCCTTCATTAGATTCTGAGCATCGATGACAAGCAGGCCGTCGTTACTGTCAACCTTATTCGACAAACGTCTGACCTTTTGATCCAGACTGTCCTCTACATCTCTGGAAACTGCCTTCATTAGATTCTGAGGATTTGAGACAAGCAGGCCATCGTTACTCTCAACCTTATTCGACAAACTTCTAACCTTTTGATCCAGACTGCCCTCTACATCTCTGGAAACAGCCTTCATTAGATTCTGAGCATCGATGACAAGCAGGCCGTCGTTACTTTCAACCTTATTGGACAAACCTCTGATCTTGTGTCCAAGTTGATCTTCAATGTCTTTGGAAACTTTACTTAGACTTTTTGGCAGCGTGGCCATCCCCTCAGCCCCCTCCTTGTCATTCGTACTAGTAATAAGCTGCAGACTGTCCTCGAGGTGTTTCAACAGCTTCAGCTTAGCTTCATCGGGTTGTGTGCTAACATAAGGCACATAGTATTGGATAACATAGTCCTTGGCATAGCATTTCATATTTTCCTTTATCTGCTCAACATTACTCTGAGTGAGGCAACAGGTCGTGAACATCAAGAGGAGGTACATCAGAGTCCACATGTTGATGTTTCTGTTGACAAAATGTTTGATGTTCTATTATTTTGACATGAATTCAGTGAAGCGTATTTTCTACCACACTAGATAACCAGAACCCACTTCTTAAGAAACAGAACGCAACATAAAATCGTTCACATTTCAAATACCTGTCTTAGAAACAGTTCAAGTTATTAATATTCAGATAACAGACAGTCATTAACATGAAATATAATTCTATGTGTAAGGTGATGCTGTAGCCAAGTGATTATACGTTTGTTTGACAACGACGGGTGGGTCCGATATCCTATATGGGTACAGAGTGTGCATTTCTTGTGTCCCCCGCGATGATTATGTTAGAATACTGCAAAAGCAGCATAAAACATATCCACTCACTCATTCCAAACAAACTGCATACAACATAGCGACACTTCAGCAAATATAATGTACTTGTTATTGGGGTAAATACAGTACATGTATTATGATACTTATCCCGACAGCCGTTAAAATCAAAATCTAATCAGGACCAGTCAAAGACTGGCGGAATGCACCGGCAACGTGTTCCACGATGACAGTGTTATCCAGCTCACGCATCACAACTTCCCGATCCTATAATTTCTACAAGCAGGTCTTTCCACAAGCAGGCATGATCCAACTGGAGACTATCCCAACGATACATGCAAAATTGAGGTTTTTTTCAGAATTGTGTCAGTTTGTTGTGGAAGGAATGCCCGACATAACATTGGTTTCTGACGTTTACCACTTGGGTCTAATCTGGGATACAAACCTACGAGTGAGTGAGTGAATGAGTCTAAATTCACGCTGCGTTTAGCAAAACCACGACAGAGGGCACCAGATATGGGCTTCACACAGTGTACCCATGTTTGGAATCGAACCCGGGTCCCGGTATGCTTTGATAGCCGGTTGAGAGGAGTACGAGGGCCGGCCAGAAGGTAGTCAGCCTAACTATATTCTCGGTGCTCAATGTTTCCATTGTATTTTGAAGAAATCATTAGCAAAGCCAAATCCAAAATTTCACATATGTGGGTAATGTGGTTAACGAGATATTCATCACATTCCCGTCATAGTCAACAGTCAAATATTTGGATTGCTTGATTTATATTTAGACGGGGTTGTTTTAAGGACACCCTATTTTATTCTTTTAAAAACATTGTGTCCAGACATTCAAGCTGGCACTGTTCACAATATACGGAGTGCTCACACAAAATTAAAAAAATAAAATAAAACAAACAAAAACAAAACTTAACAAAGACAAAAGTTTCTTAATAGTGCTCTTGATTCTCACTTGTTGTACTTGTTATGACAATTTCTCGCGTTCTCTGGACTTTAAACTTGTGGCAGCGACTGAGAGGAAGGTAAACACATTCTTTTAATGATAAACTCACCCTAAATATCTTAGATAACACCTGTTAATCTATTAATAAAATATTAAATAATGAAATCTTTGTAGATCAATCGATATCAAGAGGGAGAGAGAAAGAGAGAGAGAAAGAGAGAGAGAGAGGGGTGAGAGAGGGAGAGAGATTGTTACACTAAGGTTGCCACCGGTTCATTATACAAGTAGTACAACATGTATGCACCATGTATAGAGGGTGCCATTCATATTCGTCTTTACAATTGCAACTGATTATTTCTTATTCATGGCAAGAAATACATACTTTGCTAAACGATTAATAACATCTGGGTTTTGGGATGATAATAGCTGATAAAATGTACGATATGTTGGATATACAATGTTATATTCAGGTAACAATTTTATCAAATCTGTCAAAAAGGAAATAATTATTAACCATAAGTGGTACTTTGTTTCAATACAGGAAATAATGCATAAATGACAAAATCGTTGATCTTTAGCAATATGAAGTTTTCTATCTTCCTCTATCATCAATCTGTGATTTGAACACCTCAAGTTGGTAAGGGCTATTCTATATGAAGTAAAATTCACAACTGACAAATATTCTTCACAACATTATTCCTTTTTAGACATTTGACATACAATACTACGTTTGGGAAACGAACATATTAATTCAAACAATGTCTGTTGATCTATTGACATATACCTTTGTTTAAAATAATAAGAACTTCTTTAAACAACTTACATCCTGATTGTGCCACATATAACTAAAACCATATTTATTTAACAATTGTTTTACATTATGGGCTCAACATTGTCTACCAGCTTCTGCTAATTTATATTGATAACAGTATGTGTGGTATAATATTTAATTATCCTTTTGGTGTAATAACCGTGTCCAATATTTTACAATTGTTATATATTGTCTAGTTTTGAAAGATAAACATCCTTTAAGCTCGGTGCATTTCTACCAAGAAAAAGAATTTGCTGTAAGAAAGTATTGTAAACTCTGACTGCATTTAGTGCGGGATGAAATCCCCATATTTCTGAAACAAAAACTGAAGTTGGTAATACCTGTGGGTAAAAACTGTTGAAAAGAACAGATAAAATTAATTTTCTGAAATTTGATAGTTGGAACGTAAAATATTTAACACTTTCTGGATATGACACGTTTTTTTGCGTTATATGCCATGACCCACTACATAAGAAAAGAACACTCAAATACGTGTAAGAAGACACAATTTCCAGTTGGGTATCAATAAAATAATGGTTCTCGTATTTCGTTAATCTACCACCTTGCCTGAAAACCATAGATTTAGTTTTACTAATATTGACGGTTAAAGTCCACTTTTAACAATATATTGCAGGGTTATTCAATGATTTTGTAAACCTCCTACAGTGCTGGCAAAAAGTAACATATCATCGGGGAAGAGTAACATGAAAAGTTGACAGACACCAATGTCAATGCATCTATCTTCTTAAACACCAAGAGATTCAGTAATAGCATTAACATATAATGAAAATAGCAGTGGTGATAGTTGGCAACCCTGTTTTATTCCGCTCACACAGTCAAACAGTTGTGTGTAGCCACCTTGCAGTGATTTACATGATTGAACATTGGTGTACATATTTCTAATTAATCTAAAAAAGAAATACCTTTGACATTGCCAGTCCAAGGTTAATACATCAAATTTGTTATATTGCTGAAATCAAATGTAGCTTTAAGATCAACGAAACAGCAGTATAGTCTGCCCTTACATAAAGACAAATATTAGAGACCAGTGTATCTAACACAAATATATTGTACTTGAATGAGTTTATGGAGTTCATAAATTTTAAAAGGTTATAAAATCAAGATGACACTACGAAGGTGATACTTACAAATTAGACCAGATGTTTGTTTTCGTTTGCTATGCAAGTAGAAGACATCATGGTCGATCAGTTGTCAAGGGTCATAAATTTGTTTGTGTGGTAACATTTTATATGACGAGTTGGTACGTTCTAGGTTCGAGTCGGCGGTATTGGAATGAAAAAAAAGTTGTTTTTTATTTTTGGTTGGCAATAAAATTAGGGTCGGTTGGGCGATAAAAGACACAAAAAATAACAATTCTGCCCTAAGTGAATATGGTGTCCTTATGATAACATGTACGTCATCTGAAAAGGGGCGGCTAGTGCCTCCAAAACAAACTCATTCAGTAAACATGAAGGGGGAGTCATTTTAACAGGCGAAAGTAGTTTCAAATTGCTTTTTTTATACACTTTAATATCTAAGCTTGATTCTAGCAGACTTCTACCCATCCCAAGCACACAAAATGTTTCTTGCATGTTTTTTTTCCTGAAGTTTGTGATGCATTTATTGCGCAGATGTTGCGTTTAAGGGGAGCACCAAGATAAAAAGTCAAACAAAATGGGGATCGAGAGGCTGGAATATAGCAAAACCAAGGTTGACAGATAATATGTAGAAACATAAAATATAACAACAGCTGCATACATATCATTTTTTAGGTGAGGCAAACTACTATTTTACTTACCTGGTCTTGTTATGTGTTTAGCTGAATAGATGTTAGAGTGTGGCATGAAGGGCTTCTTGGGCACGTTATATTTATACTGTGTTGAAGACGGGAAACAACGGATAGATCCTTTCCTGAAGGAATGTTTGAACAGATAAGATAATTAAGGTCAAATGAACCGACGTTGTATGTTTCATGTGTGTCACCGGTTCAAGGGGTTCGTTATGGTTATTTTGGAACAGATAAGACATTACAACAGCTGGGCGTCTTTCGCGTGACCTCGAGTTAATCATGAAGACGTCAAATGTAGGAGTAAATGAACGATTTCACTTAAACACAGCACTTAATTGTTGATCTGTTTGTCACGACGTAATGCTAAAGGACGGTTGTTCTTTCATTGGGTTGGGCAGAGGTAAGGTGAGAAAATATTCCCGTTGGTGTTGTGGGATTGGGAGTAATGATAATAATAATTATGGATACTTGTATTCTTATATAACTCCACACCAAAATGTGCTTAAAGCACTAACATAGCTCCATAGTTCATTATTGCCCCGAATGACCCAAGCTGCCTGTGAAACGCTAGAAAGTTATAGTTACATGACTTGTCCCACCGGCTACCGGTTGCTGGGTGAACAGATATATTTCTTCAGTCGTGATATGTTATGTTCTAAATCCCAAACTCATCAAAACATTCAGATACCTACAGTTGAATAACTGAGTCAAAGGTGTGCGTCGCTTCGGCCATATTGTGGGCATTCGTAGAAACGTGGACGTCCAGAATCTACTAACCCCTTTTCTGTCAACGGTACCCGTTTCTTACGCAAGAGGGCCCGTAAGTAGGTCACGGCACTTCGCGAGACCTTGGAAACTTTTCATATCTTTTCGAATGGTCTCATGGTTGTCACTTGACAGTAAAATTATCGATAATCCTTGCAGGAATAACAAATTCCCTATCTAAGCATCCCCAAATTACCCCAAGACTTACAGGCCCTATAAGGCGTACATACTTATTCACCCCTTCCCAGTTTTATCCCTTCTTTAAAAAGTCAATGACCAACTTGTTCATGATGTACGCAACAATAACACTCTCACGTTTCGTGTGTCATCTCTAGCGCATATACTCATATACATATTCAAAATTCAGGATTATGTTATGTTATTACATGAGTATTTTCATCAAGACAGTAAAGGACCTTTTTAGTAAAGTTAATGTTCATTTAATCATTGATTTTTTAAAAGACTTTTAGACTTGTTAAATGAATTTTGATATATGTTTTGTAAATAGACAAGGTTCTATAATTGGTAGTTCAGATTTTCAACTTAGATTGTTAGTGGCTGTATCCTCAAAGGCTGTTGAAGTAGCGTCAAATTATTGTTCTCCTGAGAGGGTACGTAAGTCCCCAAAACTTTCAAAGTAATATTTTCATATACCAAGTTCTTAAACGTAGTATTTTTGTTCTTTTAAATTTCGGCTAAACTTTCCTACATTCGCCAGCAGCTGAAGGGAAGGTGTAAATGCAGCTAGGCTCCATGCAGGTACCAAAAGTAATGTAAGTCCACAATATTAGTCATATTAACCCGAAGCAATCTGTAGTTGCCCATGGCTAAATTGTAAATATTTACTTTTGGAAACTGAAAGCCATGTTCAGCTGACTGAACCCACATGAAACTGAAGCCAATCAATATCGATGCTAATTACCCATATGGGAAGGAGGACACAAGTTAGTATTTTTCCTGTAAGTCCCTAGGGAGGTTACACCTTTTGGTGAACGTTGATTGGCTGTTTCAAAAAATGAACGATTTTATTGTTTAATAACAATGTGCCGGAACTACTTCATTCATCTGCTCAGTTCATTCACTGTTTTACACTCAAACTCTCTTGTACACGAGAATAAGAAACACAGTTACTCAGTAACCTTCCATTTTGTTATTTATAATACATCACTATTCAACGTAAAAATTTGGAAATGAAAGTTGCAGAAAAACAAAAATTACAATGTTGCAAAAGGTAATACAATGCGTCTGCTGCTGCGTTGTCATTGTAAACAAACATGGCGTCATCCCAATCTCCGATAAAAGTGAATTACAAAATGAAGGTTGATGGCAACATATTGGGAAGAGTTGTAAATATTGTTAAACCACTGAACACGTTCAATGTATGTGTTGTGAGTATTGAACAAGGCGAGATGCACGTTCCCAGGCTTCGCATCCGTGTTGTGCCTGAGACTGTCACAAGTGCCCCATCAACCGACCTCCTAGATCTTCATCTTGGTATACCCGAATCTGTCAATGATTTGATGGGAGATGACGTTTGGACGGCCCTTCAATTGCATCTGTAAATTAAAGATATCCTTATGTTCATGACGATGACATTGACTCTTTTCTGTCCCAAAATGAAAACGAAAACACTTTGAATTTCTTTTTCGAAATCTCAAAGTTGTCACATCATTCCTCACAGATAAACTGAATGAGCATCGTGCTGTCGAATATAGCCCCCTTCAGAACTTAACCAAATATTGTGTAAATTTTTCATTGGTGTGAGGAAGGTAAATTGCTGTGAACACGAGCCAAGTTCATTAGTCGGATTCAGGGGGAGCCTCGAGCGACATCTGTGACGAAAGAACTACCGGTATTCACTCACGTCATCAATCGAATTTACAAAGCTCAGGGATGTAATCAAATCAAAAACGAAATCCTTTAAGAAACAAGGAAAGGAAACCTACCATTTCGTGTAGAGCCATTAACCAACGACGAAGTAAGGATGCTCCAAGAATCTGGTCAAGTAGGTATCCATTCGCCTGAGGTAAGTTTGATTCCTCTTTGTTGGAACACCACCATTTATTTTGGTCTTCGTTCGATCACCCAACACCGACGAATGACATGGGGAGATATCACACGAAAGCGTGATTCCACCGAAACTAAGTATCTTGAGTACAGTGAACGTCAGTCCAAGACACACACAGGTGTCGATCCCACAGGTGTCGATCCCACAGGTGTCCGTGTTGTCACACCCAGAACTTGGGCTCAGCCGAATGATCCGTCATGCTGTCCCGTTGTCGTTTAAAAACAATACGCACCCCTTCGACCAAGCAACTTCTGCAAACCTAATGATCCATTATATCTGGCCACAAACACCAGGGGAATCCCCACTCAAGGTGAGACATAGTTCGAAAGGCAACCAGTAGGTATAAAGAAGATAGGTTCCCTCACGAAAAACATGGCTATGCATGAAAGCAAATTTGTCGGCTGACAAAAGAATCAAAATCACAGTGCCTGAAAGCATATGATCCAAACTTTGACAAGCAATGTCCCAGCCAACCAAGTTTCTGGTCATAAAAAACGTTCAATCCTTAAACACGTACTCGAGAATCACAGAGGAGCAACACTGTGACAAGTGAAACACTCTGTCGTCTAATGCCACTTCAAACGCACTCACTCCATTAATCCCATCGGTTGTTCCTGAATACACTAAACGCCCCAAAAAAAGTTACCCTCCTTCCTTAATGCATTTTTTAAAATCTACTCAGGTGAGGATGAAACTTTCTGCTGCATTGTGAAGCGTGGACGTCCACTTATTGGGCTGCTACGGTGACCCCAGTTTGTCTGTAGCGCTGAACAAGTCTCATAACCGTGATACTGAGGCATCCGAGGGCGTTGCCAACAGCATTGTATGTTGACCCGATCTGCTCTTTCTCTCTTCAGCTGTTACTCGTGGCATATTTCTCGTACCTTTGTATCATATCATGCATTCTAGGCTCTCTTTATACCTTATGGAATCATTCTACAAGTGAAATTGATGCAAATACTGTTTGAATATTGCTACGTTTTAGTGACTGATATTGCTATATGTAAACAGAAAATGGGAAAATGTTACTTGGCAAGCAAAAGTGTTAAAGATAATTTTAGGTGTTCCTAAACACTTTTTTCGCAATATCAAAGACATGTTTTACTTGTTTTTACGAATGCACATCAGCAGAAAATGTTTTAAAAGCCTGAAATCATAGGAATGATTCTTTTACAATTTTACACACTCTACAACAGTTGTTTCTTGTTGTAATGGTTGAAAAATGGCGACTTTAAACGGCTTACCTTTGTCTCACAGCAGAATTGTATTTCAAAGTTGCTTTTGGACATCTAAATCACTGTTATTGGTTCATTTCGGCATGGTCGAAAATAGGACAATTTAACTCTTTAGAAAGAGATGCTTTTCACGTAAATATGAACTGTATAAAGCTGTGTTGTTAAGTTTTCTTGTAAACTAATACCTTCTAACATATATTTGATAGTATTTAAGTAATTCATAGAGGTAAGAGGGTAACGTATCTTTTGGCGTTAGTGTATAGGTTTCTCCGCCCTTCAAATGAAAGTATGCGTCCTTATCCGGCATCAAACACCCTGTCTTCCCAAAGACACGACATTGACACAAGTGTGATTCAGACAATTTTTGCTAGGCTAATATATGGCGGTGTCTGCAATATCACAAACTAGTTTGACAACTTCTCTTCATATTAACATTTATGCTATTTCCTGTCGATTTGACGTTTCTGTCCGGATGAGTTCGCCATGCCATGCGAATGACACATAACGTCTTGGCTGCAAACACACAAATTATGATGAAATACGTTTTTGTTTGCAATGATTAGTACAAAATTCAAGCATTCAAGAACAGAAAACACATATGTATAACTATTTAACAAACTCTACGGTTACGTTAGTTGTGAAAACCACATTTGACTATGAGACTATTTAGTCTCGCGTAATACACCCTTTTAAGATAGAGGTAATGCGATGCTTGGAAATGAATCCGCATCACACGGGTAGGGATATGGAGATTGTCACATCCTTAGAGAGAAACTGTGTTTTCATTTTAGCGTTTTTTTTAGATCGAAAAGTGATATCGGTAATAAAAACAACAACCAACTCCTGACGGGGAATGGCAGATTATCTTTCCCCGTCACTCGTTAGTTGACTGTAGCTTGAAATATTTAACCTGCCTAGTGAGCTCTATGTTACATCGTCGGAACCGTAGCCTTCTTTCAAGAGCATTCAGACATTTTGGTGAATCTAGGATTCGA